TGTACTGAAGGACCCTTCCTTGCCCAAATTCTTCAACCTGGAGGCCAGTTTCCGGCTGGACATCCCTCTCTTACCCAGACTCTTGCAAATAATCATTTTTGCAGAGGTTGAAAGGACTTTTGGACGCCCTGAGCGAGCCTTTGATTGGAGGCTTTCTCCAGCCTTGTGGCGTTTCCACCAACGATTCACACTTGCTGGGTGAACTCCAAGAATCCTAGCTACCTCCCTCTGGGACTTTCCTGCCTCAACCATTCCAACGGCTTTAGCCCGGACCTCCAACGGCAGCTCGCAGACCTTCATATTGTTAGATGTTGATACCAAACAAAAGCTGCTTCGTACATAAGCTACGCAGTGGATGCACGCTACTTGCATAGGCTACACCATGCTAACTGGTTTGTCAGAGTATTCCTAAGTTATTTAAATGACTGTAGGAAACACAAATTAAGGGCAACAAACCATGAGCGTAATCCGCTTGTGTTGCAATACTTTTGACCCATACTGTAACTTGAAATAATAATTTTAAAAAACACTTCTTTTTTCAACAATTGCATTAAAAGTAAAAGTGATTGATAAAAGTGTCAGAATCCCATTATTTCATTCCAGGTGAATTCCTCTTATGCAGCAGAAGATTAATCCATAAAGAGGTCACTGCATAAGTTCAGACTGATAGTGGAAGATGTCAATAAACATGGACAAATGTGTGGGACGCAGTCAGTGAGAGGTTGCCGAGAGATTCAATAATGACTATCTGTATTGGCAGCCAATAACGCAAAGTCTAGGAATGTTCAAGCAGAATGGTAACATTGCTTGCGAAAACACATTACGAACAATGGCAACCATGTTGAACATATGTTTTTCAGTGTCATTATAAAATGTGAATTTCCCTATGATACTTGACTTGTGGGACACCCTGTATAGAAGGAATTAGGCCTGACTGCTCTAAGGTAAATCTGACTACTTTCAAACAGGTGATTTATACACAACATGAAATTAGGTAAAAATTTATCTTCTCATGGCAATGTCAACAAGCTCACTTGCATGATTTTCTTTCTAAACAACATATTCAAAGGTAAACGCCTCTTGAAGCTAAATATTTTTGTATTTTTATGAGTTTTGTGCTTTTTTTGCATATCCTAGTAACTTATTGCCTAGTTCCTAAAGTCAACATTGCCCCCCTTCTTGCATGTCCACAAAAGCATCTAGTTTCTTCTTAAAAAAATAGTCACAGAAGGGGCAGCCACTACGTCGTCATCTAACGCATTCCAAGCATTTACCACTCTACAAGTAAAAAAATCCTGTCTTAACCTGAGCCGCACCTGCGGTTTACGCAACTTGAGTTGATAACCTCTCGTTCTCTTGCTGCCATCGAACTGGAAGAACCTACTACACTCGACATTATCTATTCTTTTAATTATCTTGAAAGCCTGGATGAGATCGCCCCTCCTTAACCTTCGTTCGAGCAAGTACAGTCCCAACATTTAAACGCTTCTCGTACGGAAGTCCCCTAACTTCCTTTATCATTCTTGTGGCCCTCCTCTATATCCCCTGGAGCCCCAACAATTCACCCTTATTTGTAGACCTCCAAAACTGGATGCAATATTCCAACTGGGGTCTTACCAGTGCCGCATAAAACGGAAGAATAACGCGTGAGTTCCTACTTGCAACCGAACAACGAATGAAACTTAGCATCCTGTTACATTTGGTCACTGTCGCTTGCGCGTGCGAAGAAGACGAGGTCTTCGTCGACAGAAACTCCTAGGGGTGGATTTTTCAACAGAGCATTATCCGATAATGCTGCTTTACTTCAGAGAAAATGCATTATAAATCCGGTAAATAAAGCAGCATTATCGGATAGTTCTCTGTTCAAAAATCGACCCTAGATCTTTCTCTCCTTTTGCCTCCCCCAATTCATCCTCGCCGAGCGCGTCGAGAGACCTACCATTGTTTCGACCGACGTGGAGAATTTTGTATTTACTTTTATTAAACCTCATGAGCCATTTCTTGCTTCACTCGTCCAAAAGACTCAAATCTTGCTCGGCTCTAGCCCATCCGCCTCCCCCCTTAGAGAAAAACCAATTTTGGTGTCGTCGGCAAATTTACTTACCATACCCTCTACGCTTAGATCCAGATCGTTTATGTAGACCACAAACAGATGTGGTCCCAGGACCGAGCCCTGAGGGGCCCCGCTTGCGACACCGACTTCGGTCGACGCTTCCCCATTTACCATTACTCGTTGCTCTCTTCCCGTCAACCAGCTACTGATTCACTCGCTCGCCCTACCCAACCCTGGATCCCGTGCGCCTCCAGTTTAACCCGCAATCACTTGTGAGGAACGGTATCGAAAGCTTTCGCGAAATCTAAATAGACAATGTCCACAGGTTTCCCCTTATTCCTCTCTTCCGTCGCCCAATCGTAGAATTCGAGCAAATTGGTGAGACAATTTCGACGCCTTCTAAAACCGTGTTGGGAGTCCCGAATGAGCGCGTTTCCTTCGAGGAAATCCAAGTGGGGGGTCCCTTAGGATGCACTCCATGACCTTCCCCGGGATACTCGTGAGACTTACCGGCCTGTAATTCCTTGGATTACTCTTCTTAAAGACCGGTACGACGTTTGCTAGCCTCCAGTCCTTAGGTACTTCCCCGGCCGAAAAGCTGCTCTCAAATATAAGTATTAGCGGAACTGAAATTTCTCTCGCAGTTTCCTTGATGACTCGAGCAGGAATCCCATCTGGGCCGGTCGCCTTGCCCACCGCCAACTTCCCTATCATATTCATGATCGTCTCCTCGGTGATGGAAATATCCGCAATGTGCGCCGAGGTCATCTCCTCCAAAATCGGTGCTTCGTGGGATTCGACAGTGAAAACGGAAGCGAAGAACTCATTAAGTACCCTGGCCATATCCTTATTACTTGCAATTGACTCCCCCTTGTTCGTTAGAGGCCCGATCGACTGTTGACACCTACCACTATCATACAGATAAAAAGCCTTGGGGTTCTTAGCATCGCTGGCCAGCCGTTCTTCGACCTCCCGTCTCGCCGATCTGATTTCCCTCTTCAACGACCTCTTGATGGTCCTATATTTCTCATAGTCCGTTCTACCTCCCGTGAGCTTATACCTATCCCATTTCCGCTTCTTATCCCTGATGAGAGCTTTGATTTTACCCGTAAACCAGACCGGTTGCCTGCCCGTCATTTCCGCTTTTTATGCCTGATGAGCTTTGATTTTACCCATTAACCAAACGGGTTGGCTGCCCGATATATTATGGCTTTCTTGCGGATGCATTCCTCCATAAAGCCCTGCAATAACGTCTTGAACGCCCCCCATTGCTCCTCTACCGTCAGCCCACGGAACCACACCTCCCAGTCGATACCTAAAACGCATTCACGTAACTTCTCTAAATTAGCCTTCTTATAGTCGTACGAAACCTTAGCCGGTTTGGCGTTACTCTTCGTCCGTTTCATATTCCATGTAATCACGCAGTGGTTCGAATCTCCCCAAGTTACCCTGCACCTTAACGTCTTGTGTCAGATCGTCGTTCACCGTGAAAACTAAATCCAATAAAGCTTCCTCACGAGTCGGTTCTTCTGCGTGCTGAACGAGAAGAGCATCCTGAACCGTAACGAGAAATTCCCTATCCCTTTCACTCCCCCCTCGCGGCACCGACCAATCTATGGTAGGCATGTTAAAATCTCTGAAGAACAATACCTGCTTCGAGACCTTGCTGATCTTACGCATCAGTGCAAAATAAGCTGCATCGTCCTCTCGGGAAGAGTTTGGGGGCCTATAGCAAATTCCTAGCATGATCTTCTCAGTTGCTCCACCGATCTCGCACCATAAGTGCTCGATTGCGCCACAGTTAGCCGAGGTGAGACCTCTGACGCGAACGCCCAGTTCAGTTCTAGCGTACAACATGACTCCTCCCCCCTTTCTACCAGGCCTATCCTTCTGCCAGATGTCGTACCCTTCGATCTCGAATTCCTTATCCGAAATGTGGGAACCACCCTAAGACTCGGTTATTCCGATGACATCGAAACCGCCGTCCAATGACAAGCGTATCGCGACCACAGGCCGGCTTTTACAACCGACCAATCACAATCGATCACAATCGAATCAATCACAATCACAATTAATCTTTGTTATTTAGTGACCTTTCTGTCTGAGCTTGTGATTGCACTTGTATTACAGGAATAACATTTTTATAATGCATTGCTTGTGATGGGAAGCATAGAGAGACAAGTGAGAACAGAACACTGGACTTGGATGGGGGAAGGAACACCATTTCCTGAAGACCATGATTGTGAATCATGATCATATCTTCCCACTCCAGACGTCCAGAAAGAGTTTATACCTCAGGATAATCAACACATCATATAAGATGGAATGACTACGTTGCAAAGCTTTGTTATGAGAGGTTCAGCATCCCACTTGCTAAAAATATGTGTATTGCCCAAGGATAAGAACAAGATACAGTAGAACTCGGTTATAACCGTCATCGAAGGGACCAGGGAAAAATCGTCGTTATAACCGAGGTTGCCTGTATTGACATTCCCTTTTCCTGTTTTCAAAATAGATGCTATATAACGTTACAACTCTAGTGCACATCGGTAATGCCACACTAGCTTCAGTTTCAGGATTGACCCACTAATCGTAATGTTCGCACTAATTTGGACCTTGAACTACTTTATACTATAGCAAGGCCTCGTCGACGTCATCTCGACAGATCTACGAAATTTCTTGTTTTGTGACATGTTCTCGTAAGCATGGATGAAGCTGTCACGATTTTCCCAAATTGTGGAAACAGATGAACAATTTCCATGTTTTTCGAAGGGGACTTCGACTTTACTTCGAGCACTTTCTAATAAATTAATCATGCACACTTTCCTTTCAATGGACTTCGTAATAACTGAGGTTCTCGTTATAACCGAGGTTTCGTTATAACTGAGGTCGTTATGACCGGGTTCGACTGTATGTGCCTAAGGGATTCCATGTTCTTCCTCAATATAAGGATAGGCCTGTACTGGAGCTATCAGATAAAAAATAGGATGTGAAGTCCTAATTATAGAGGCAAACGTATAGAAGTCCCGTCATAGACTTACTACGTTTCTGACGGTTCGAAATGGCTCTACTAGTATGTTGGTTAGACCCTGCTTATCAAGCCGGGAAATGAGGAATGCCATGGGGCGTGTCTTTTTCTCCAGCCGCTAGCAGCTGCTAGCGAAAAAGACGCGTTGGCTAGGCACGACCACGTCATTGAATGACGTCACTCTTGGGCAAGTAGCTGGCAGCGGTACATAGCGAACTATGGGAGCGCTGAGCAGCTCAGCCCTAACATGACGTCATGGGATGCTGGAGGCCTCAGCAGAGCTAGCTGAGCCGCTGAGAAAAAAGACACGCCCATGGGCGTGTCTTTTTCTCCAGCCGCTAGCAGCTGCTAGCGAAAAAGACGCGTTGGCTAGGCACGACCACGTCATTGAATGACGTCACTCTTGGGCAAGTAGCTGGCAGCGGTACATAGCGAACTATGGGAGCGCTGAGCAGTTCAGCCCTAACATGACGTCATGGGATGCTGGAGGCCTCAGCAGAGCTAGCTGAGCCGCTGAGAAAAAAGACACGCCCATGGGCGTGTCTTTTTCTCCAGCCGCTAGCAGCTGCTAGCGAAAAAGACGCGTTGGCTAGGCACGACCACGTCATCGAATGACGTCACTCTTGGGCAAGCAGCAGGCAGCGGAACATAGCAAACTATGGGAGCGCTGAGCCGCTGAGAAAAAAGACACGCCCCATGATGGTAGTAGTGACGTCACTTTGGGGGTGCGTGCGATTGGTCGCAGCCCGAGTCGATTGTGATTGGTCGGTTGTCAAAACCGGCCTGTGGTCGCGATATGCTTGTGTCCAGTGCTCTCCCCCTGAGCTCGTCCATTTTATTACATACATATATTACGCTTTGGTTGCGCCTTCGCCGCTGCATCATCCGGGATACTGATTCATTCAATAATTCATTTTCGAGGTGGCAACTTTTCGAAGGGACAAAAACATATTAACCCTTCCAACAGCTTTCACGTACACTGTACGTGCATCACTTAGGAGGTGAGGACAAAACGCAGCCCTTGAAGGGTTAAAAGCATGTCCCTGTTGAAATATGTGCCACGCGGGGACTAACCGACATTTTAATCGAAATAATCACTCCAATGATTTCTTGCGTGCATAACTTCATATGTAACTTCAAATCTCTTTTTAACCTGCCCTCAGGAGACATATTTAAAAGTAGGACATGCACTCAGCAATCGAATAGGTACTTCTGCACCAAGTTTCAACTTTCTACAGTTCACTATTTCATTGGATCAAAAAATACTTGGGAAAATGCACCTTTTGCAACAACAAAAAATGTGCCCGCAGGGGCACATTTTTTGGGGGCAAGTAATATTTTTTTACTGACATCAGTACTTGGAGAACTGCTTCTCAACCAAGTTTCAGGCTTATCCGTTTTCCCTGTTCGATGGTGCACACATAGATTTGGAAAAGCCGACGCAGCCAAAAGCTGTGCCCTGAGGGTATGCACCACTAAATTTGTTTGTTTTTTTTCTGAAGTCAGCATTACCTCAGTTATGTACCTATGCTTGTGTGATGTTATGATTATGTCAAGTTTCACCTTTCTATCTCTGCCCAATCGGTAGGACAAAAAAATTATTTGATAACGTCAGCCTCAAAAAATATGCTCCCAGGAGATGTATTGAAACTTGATATTTTCCTGAATTCCTTGTCTCAGTAGTCACATTCATGCAAATTTTCAGCTTTCCATGTTTATCCGTTTCAATGAAGCAAAAAAATTATTTGAAAATATCTCGCCCTGAAATTTGTGCCCCCAGGTTATGGACCTCCAAAGTCGGATTTTTTCTGAACTCGGCATCCTAGTATGTACTTGTGTACCAAGTTTCAGATTTCTAGAAGCTCTAGAACATGGTTAGAATTAGCGTCAGTCACTCAGTCACGATCGTCTATATACGAGGGTGAATCAAAAAGTATATATACAAGCTTGGCACTTTTTTATTTTTAAGAATAAAATGAAAGCATATATTATTATTTTTCCATGTAATCACCGTCCCTCTCAATGCACTTGGTCCATCTCTCCACCAACTTTTGCATGCCTGTAGAAAAAAAGTTGTTGTCTTGTGCCTTCAAAAAATATTGCACCGCTTTTTCCACTGCTTCGTCATTCGGAGTGTTCGCCACTTAACTCCTGAATTCCATCCATCAGATTTGTTCGTCCAATTGTTTACCCACTTTTTGACATTTTGGCAATTAAAAAAACTCTCCCCGTATTGTGCAAACATTCTTCTGTGAATCTTCGCTGAGGGTACTCCTTCAGCGTTCAAAAAATCGTATTACCACTCGTTGTTCTTTGGTGCAATCCGATAGAGGAGCGGTCATTTTTTTACCTGTGCAGGCGACAAGATGCTATAAAGTACTGGCTTCTATACACGTGGTTAATGACACCAGGGATGCAGCAAACAAGTTAAAACATGTTGTGCTTTGCTTGTTTGTCTATGCAAGAAATTACATAACTTGTATCTTTACTTCTTGATTCACCCTCGTATATTAGAAGCTGCGTACATTCGCGTAGAAACACTTCATTCTTCCCTGCCTTTCCTGCATACCATTACCCGACGGTCTAAAGCTGCTCGTAGTGGCTGTACCTTGTTCGTGATCCCTCGCCCCCATCTACAACCGGGTCTGTTCCACGCCAAGTGGTCCTAGAATTTTAGCCAGAAATTTTCCTAAATATGCAAATATTACATTCGCTACAAAAGTTCATCATCTCTTTTCTTAGAATACATGAAAGAGAATATTACATTGAAAAATGAAAGAATTTGGCATAATTATGATATATCATTCATACCACTCTCATGATACTCAAAAATGTGATGAAAATGCTAATCTGGAGATACTGAATTGACTACTGGAACAGATTCCAGCATGGGCTTTCCATGCATACTGATAATTTCAAATCAGCTCAGGTGTGAAGAGGAGATGTTAATTGTTCACATTTGAATAATATCTTTTAAATAAAAT